ATAAAGTGTAATATGATAAATTTGTTTCCCACTAGGAAATGCCAAATTCTCGGGAGAAAACAAGAATAAATATTAACGAGTTCTATCAACAACAAAAAAGGAGCCAAGAGGATATATAGATTTAGAGAATATGAAAATTGGTTAATTTTATTTTTTCAAAATTGGCCTAAAAATGCATTAAATGATATCATTGTATACTTCCATCAAGAAAAATCAATTTATATTCACGAAGACCTTAACATAAACAAAGACCTTGAGTTAGAATTATATGTTAACAGTTTACAAAAAAAATAAAAAATAAATAAATTATATGTTAACACACTATAACGTGCTTTCATCATTGCAAAGGTGGATGATTAAGTGTGACATGCAGACCAATCAATGACCTGGTTTCATATTTTCCCCTAGTTATTACATTTTCCACATCTCTCGTATGATCTTCCAATGTCAGATTGCATGAATTTTGCTTTTGGTTATTAGTTTCTTTTCTTCCTTTGTTTTTGCTTTCTTGTATTAAAAAATTAATAATATATAAATCTGTGTTTTAAAAGCTTACACAAATATGTCTTTAGTTTCTTATTTGTTGTTTTATTCACTATTTAACATAAATTTAAGGAAATACAATAATTAACTCTTAATTGGGAACATTTAATAATTCGCAATTTTATTTTTTATAATATCAATTAAAGAAAAATACAAGTAACAATCCAATGAGCTGAAAGTGATAAAATTCTACTATATATAGTAGGGTTTTGTACTTTGAAACTTAAAACGCAAGTGACTATTACTATTTCTGTGTGTGTGTACCAATTCTATTTCAATCTATGTTCTCTGTTACATCGATCCCCAAGACAGAGAGTTTCATACCCAAATACTATAATTTTACGAGGAAACAACCAAGGAAGGCCTAAACACCAAGGGCAAGGTGATTGTTTTGTTGATATTGTTATCCCATTGATCTCATGCTACAATTAATGTTCTTTTCTAGTGAAAATTATTTTTGTGTTTTCTTGGATACTGAGAACTGGACCAAAAGCAGGACTTTTAACATTATCACTTCTCTTTAATGGTCATGATTTTGGTCTAACCATACATACATATGGACGTGGCTTTTATTGCCATAACTCATAGTTGTTTATACTTTGTATCATTTCATGCATGTCTTTGTCTACTCAAAATCCTAAGCCATTAAGTTAATGGAACCTTTCACTTTGGTCTGTTTCTAACCAATATAAAACTTCAATAGGGACCATGAGCACAAATTATTCATGCACAGCACTTGCAGCATCTTCTGGCGTTGAATTATATGCTTTTCTGTCACAATCATTTCCAAAAACAGAAAAATAATAATTAAAAAAAAAAATCACAAACTCAGGTTTACCAATTCCAGAAAAGAGTAATAAGACTTAGTCCAAAAATAGGATATCTGTCCATATTCTAATGATAACAAAAATGCCAAGGTTGCACATGATCCTAGTGGAAATGGCTAACCGTCTTGCATGCCATGGTTTCATGTTCAATATTCATTATAGAGGCTAGAGGGTGCTATTTAGTCAGAGCATACACCTTCCTCCACTATCTAGACCTTACTCTTCAGTTCTCTCTAATTTCACTGAGAAAATACTACAAGTTTGAAGTAAGGTGAGGACAAAGATGATGCTCAAGCTCATTGTATCTCTCTATCTCTCTCTCTCTCTCTCCCTCTCTCACAGCTCATTTTGTCCCTTACTTTGTAAATGCCAAAAAAAAGAAAAAAAACTGTCATTTATAATGTAGCTTTGTTTTGTACACAAGGTCTTCAACAGCTTCCTGATCAAGTTTTTTTTCTTGCTATCATACTTGGAATCATATTGCTAGGATGCTGGATGCTTAGCTTTTTATCTGTTTTTGTGTATGTTTGTGATTTATTTTCTAGCTGATGTTACACATTCCTGAGATTGAAGGAGCTGGTGATGTGTGTTTTTATTTGGCTGGAATTTGACTTGATCTACATATGGACTTTCACGATGCCTTGTACCTGAAAAATGATAAGGAAATATGCCTTCTAATCATAAATTTGGATATAAGTTTTTAACTTATTAGCGAAGAAAAGAGATAATCAGCAACACAAACATAAAGTGATAAAGACACATGTCCCAACTTTGCACCACCCAGCACTGCTTCCCCTCTCTCCCCATCAATCCCATCTTTTGGTTTAAGGTTGTCTCCATTCTTGCTTCATTGACTAAGTTTTGTGAGCAACTTTAGATTTTGTTGTCTTTCCTAGTTGACCAATGTTTTTTCTCTTTCTTTTTTTTTTCTATGGGACTAACATTCTTTTCGATGAATAAAAAATAAAAGTAAAAGTAAACTAAATATATAAATAGAATGCATGGTCCTTTTATTAGAAATAGATTCAGGACAGTGAACGATTTATTTGGACATTTGTTGGTTTTGAATATCTAGAAGGGTGTTGAATTTTCAGGACTTTCTATAATTTGGATATTGGAATTTATGGAGAACAGAATGATTATTGCAGCCAAGAAGTACCCTGACTTCTTCAAAGTCTTCCTTCCAGTGCGCAGCTCTGAAAGAATGGTATTTTGTCAACTATAGTTTCTACAATCTAGATTTACATGAAGATATAACATTGCTGTCCTTAGACTAATATTTAGAACATTGCAAATAAGAATTAACTATATTGCTTTCGAAGTGGACCAGACAAATGCTGTTGTTGACTTCAAATCATTACCAAAGTATTACAATATACCTTTTAAGTAACATTTATCTTATTCTTAGTGAGTCATAAGAAGCTCACATTTTTTTATTAAAAAAAATTAAATTGTTGCAGCTTATCCCAAATGCTTTTGTGAAGTTGACATACTTACCTGAGGATGTCATCCTTAAAAATCGTAGTGGGAGAGTTTGGCATGTCAAAACACGTATCATTGGTGGCCAATTATATTTTGATGATGGTTGGAAGCAGTTCCAAGGAGAAAATTCTCTAGAGGTTGCAGACTTTCTTATTTTTACATATGATGGAAGCAATGTGATCAAGGTTAAGATCCTTGAACAATCAGGGTGTGAAAAGATAGAGGTAGAGAAGGAGGGAGAACATAGAAAAGAAACGGATTGTGTGAGGGAGTTGATTGAGAAGGAGATAGAAGAGAAAGTAGAAGAAAAATGTGAGGAGATAATTATACCAGAGGAGGAACATGAAGAAGAGGATTTTGTGATGGAGGAGGAGGAAGAAGAACAAGAACAGGAACAAGATGAAGATGATAATGAGGATGACTATGATGATGAGGAGGAGGATGACGATGATGACGATGACGATGAAGAGTACATAGAGATGGAAGAAGAGAATGAAATAGAATACAGTGGAAACATGCGTGCACAATGTCACTGTAGAACCAGCAAACACCTTGTTATCCGCAAAGGTAAACTTTAACTTCATACTGAAAACTAATTTTGTTTATTTCATTTCAGTTTGTAGTGTTGCATGAGTCTGCCTTTACCTGCTTATTTATTTGGTTTAGAGAGGACTGTAAGAAGGTCTGCCACCAGAGGTGAATATCTTGATCTTGAAGATTATGGAATTGATGCAGAAATGTTTATTCAGCAGGACAATCCATACTTTGTTGCAAAACAAATTAAAACCAGACCCAACGAATTGGTTAGAATTATTTACCTGTTCTGTTCTAGTTCTATCCTTTTGTCTTTTCTAACCCATATAAATATTGGCATTTTGGACAATGGAGCATAGTTAGATGAGTTGAGTATGTTCATTTGCTTAAGCCTAGGTGGAGGAATTAGTACTTTTCACCACCTTCAACTTCTCATTGCTGATTAATATTCCTTTGCACTTCAAGCCCTTTTAATCTCTCCATATTATTATGTCCATATTAAAAATGTTAATTGAGTGATTATCCTTCTCTTACCCTAAATAAGTCAAGTAGTTGCAATTTATTATATTTTACTTTAGTCTTTAAGCTACGATGACTATTATTGTCTTAACAAATGCTATTACTCTTCCATCTACTGTATTTTTCACTTATGGCATCACCCTTTGCTATTGCAGCATATTCCAAGAATGATCATTAAAGACTTTTTCCTTAGCTTTCCAAAAAGGGTTACCCTTTCATGTTGCCAATGCAAGGTATAACTCTAAAATATTTAACTACCACTTTTAACAACTATGCAAGGGACATTCAATTATTTTGTGTTGTCTTGAGAATTTGAAAGTATAGTTGTGTTCCTTCTTCTCATCTGCTAATATATTTTTTTACTTACGGGATGCATCTTTGTTATTACAGGATATTCAAATAAACGAAGTAAGAAACTATCATCTCAGCTTGCCAGGACAGACACCAATCCGCCAAAAAAATACAGAAGGGATAGGAGAAGTATGCACATGGAAAGATGGTCGAGTATGTATCCTAGGGTGGGCAAGTTTTTGCAGAAAGAACAGGATCAAAGAAAATGATATATGCATATGTGAAATTGTGTTGGGGGAAGACCAAAAAGTTGAAATGTTAAGGGTGCATGCAAGTTGCGACAGGAAGGGATCAACACACTAGGCAACAATACTACCAATTATGTGGACTTGGAACTTGCTTATTATTAATTACATGCTGTAAAATATTTATATGAACTAATTTCTATAATTTTCTTATGAAATGGTTTCTGCCATGGCAATGATGACGATATTTATCTAATGCTTCATTGCACAATCATTTACATTATACTATTCCACCGCTTAACAAATTTGATGTTGAACTGAATTGCAAGTGTTTAGGGAGCGAGACTAAAATTACAGTAGTTGAACTTAGCAATTATGTTATTCAGATACAGTCTAAATCTCAAAACTAACAAGTAAGCAGAAAAAACATGTTTCAAAATTCAAATGAGTGAACTTAATTAGCTAGCAGATGGGAGTCAATTTTTTTGTTTTTTTCCTTGGCCAGCATCAAAAAGTTGCATGCCATAAAAACAAGAAGCTATCATATTTGCTTTTCAACCAACCACACCCTTCTTACCTTATCCATTTCTTCCTAGTAGTCCCAATACAAAGTCTCTTCCTTGCTACAAACCTTTTTACTTCAACAACCACAGGCTATTATTGGAAAGCCCTTCCAGCTCTACCTAAAAAAGGTTACTACTCATAGCACACATACCAATGTTATTTGATTTGTTTCTATCTTCCTTCTTTACCAGCAATTTTCTACACCATCAAGTGTGTTTAACTACTTTATATATTTTCTCCTCATTTCAGAGAACAATGGCAACAGGCTCAGCAACAATGTCTCCTGCTACAATCACTGTTGTAGGCAGTGCCACCGTTGGAAGGTCAAGCAGGAGGAAGAATAATGTGCATTACATAACAGGGCTCAATTCTTTTGGTGGGTTGAAGGCTCAGAACAGTGTCACCTCATTAGGCCTTCCTGTATGCACTGAGCAATCCTTTGCAAAAGTGGTGAGCTCCTTGAAATCTCCATTGCAGGGAAAGGGAAGAAGTGGAGGAGCTGCTTCTTCAACATGTAATGCTGCAGGCGAAATTTTCCAAATTGCAGCCATTATGAATGGGCTTGTTCTTGTTGGGGTTGCTGTAGGATTTGTTCTTCTTCGAATTGAAGCATATGTGGAGGAGGCTGAGTGAGAATCTCATAAACTTCATTTGATTCATGTAATTTTATTTTCTTAATAAAAATGAAAATTGTATCTTTCATTTAGGTTATCTAAATCCTCTTATATGAATTTTTTATGGAGACAAAGAACTGTACACAATTTTTCTGATTTCTGGCATAAAAAGTTGGTGATATATGGAGATAAAGACAAAATATCCTCTTGGAGAACTTGGAAGATTACCCTATTGAGAGTTTGCTATAAATATGTAGTCTAAATAAGAAATCAATTTCAATTGGTTTTGGTATTATTATAATAACTAGGCAGACAACTGGACCTTATAATAATTTTATTCATATCCTTTCATTTTCTGAATATGGGTCACGGAGACAGTTACTCCATCTCCCTTAGAAGTGCGTCTTATGTAAATACCATCCATAAAGAAGAGAAAGAAAATGAGAAAATGAGAAATTTTGCAACAACAGATTAAAAGAAATACCTCTTTTAAGTGTTTTTTCTTTTTTTCTTTTTTGTTATCAATGCAACACACAAAACTAAACTGTCAGCTGATGGTGAATAAGAAACATCTCTTATAATTCATTGAAATTTAAGGGAGTTTATGATGTAATGAACAAGATCTTGAGATAGCATGCTTCTTACATTTATTGAAAGATCCTACCACAGAAGACAAATACCCTAATAGACACTAGACAGTTTTAAAACTGTACCAACATCATATAGCTGATAAATTTGTTAAAGATTTCCTGACAAGTTATAAAACCCAACAGATTGTTGGATACGACCTCCATGTAAACCTGGGCTAGTATAAAATACACTATAGCTTATTGCATTGCATGGCATAAAATCAGGTCTCTTATATACACTTGAGACCTTAAAAATGCATGCACCAGGCCTTTTTAACAAACTGTGGTCGATTGTTTGGCCTGCTTAAAACTTTCATTGGCATTAGCAGAGTCTGCACCTTTGCTTTGAAGTCTCTCATATTCCAACCGGTTTGTAATGGTGCATTTTCTAGCTAGTTTCAAGCAAACAATTCCTGCAAATATCAGAATTGCAGAAAGGATCCAACTGAATTGTAAATTGGCTAATCCTCTGGCCCGAAAATAAGCCTCTTTAGAGCCACAAGTAACTGCTCCAAGCATGTCATTGCCACTGGCTTTGGCCAAATTCATTACACACCCTTCAGGGACAAATGCAGGAACCCATAGCATAAACCCCATGTTTATAAACCAACACCCTTGGAAGATGACTGAAATAGAAAGTACAAGAGCCGCATTGAAATTGTTAGGGAAAATAGTTGCAGCCAGAGATGCTAGAAGTGTGACAAGCACTATAAGCTGCAACAACCAGTGGCAATGGCCTTCAAGTCCAACATGGTCTGTGGAGTGAAAATGGAGTAGGAAGAGCTCTTGACTAAACACTGAGGATGCAAGTATCCCAACAAATCCAGAGAAGAGATCAAGTGTATCAGTTAACTCAGTCGAGAGGGAGAAACCAGCAAACAAAGCAAGGTGTATGAACATAGTTGCATGCTCAAAGTGAACAAGCTTAAAAGCATAGTGGAAATGAGGAAAGTCTAGAACTTGCATGAAAATTGCGAGGATGGAAAAAGATAAAATGGAAACAAGCTCCAAGTGTTTAAGTCTAGACTTAGGGGTATTAAATTGGTACCAGAATCTTACAGTGAAGTTTGCAGGGCCTTTCACAAGGTAAGATCTAATGGTGTTGATCATGTGCCACAGGCCAAGAAGGGCAAGTGCTGATCCAGGAACTATGTGTCCTACAAAGGTGCCCATGGCAATGTTTTTTTCTTCAGAAGACAACCATTTTTTGAGTTAGGCTTCTTCATTTAAATATATGAAGCCATTGCAAACATGATGCGTGCACGAAATAAAGTACTTTATATGATATATGATTAGTCCAAACATTTCACTAAGTGCATGGTGCATGTGTTTCCACAAACTGAAAAGAGAACCTACTATGAGCAACATCCTGAAAGAAAAGGTTGAGGGATAGGTAGTTTTCTTCAAAACTCTATGCACTCTAATTGGAAATCCGCATCAGAGTTGGGAGGATAAGATATAACTCCACTATAAAAAACGCCAAATATAACAGGAATCAACAAATACAAACCTTCCTTTAATTGTGAAACTGAAAACTACTACTGGCGATAGTGGTTTTGGCTTTCTGCATTGAACCATACAAAGCAATATGAACCACATAATAAACTTATGTGGCGAGCGAGATGTTCCCACTCATTAAAATATTTTGATTCTCCATTACATAAACTTCATGTAAAAAGAAGCATATGCTAGCGAAAGCAACAAGATTCTTGGTATATTATTTTACCACCATAGTGATGTTGTTTTGTATTAATAATCCCGCGGCATGTGGACCACTCGGAAAAGTTAAAGTTCTCATTATAGACATATAAAATGATATTTCATATTGCAAATTATATAAATATTAACAAAGAAAAATAAGACATCTATCTATCTATATATATATATATATATATATATAAAGGAGAGTTCAATGTTGAAAACTTTGCTGATGTGTCATCTTCTCATCAATCTGAGCTTTGTGTTTACACTGTTTCATTTTGAATTTTTTCCTCCTTTAGAAACTTTTTTAATTAAAATAAAATATTTTTAAAATATTTTTTAATTAATTTTAATTAAAAACGTTATTTTCTTTTTGTGAAAAATGGTGAAGCTTTTATATCAGTTCACCTTTTCAATGCAATTAAATCTCATTACCTTCTCCTTGGAAAATGTTGGGCACATGCATCTATATATATTGTTAAACATTTTAAAATTGTAAAATACGAAACAAATAAAAAAATGTTTTATTGAGTTTTGATTTAATTGAGTTGTGGTGGCAGACACCTCATTCAATGCCCAACTCAGTTGTTTCATGTCAGACTTTAATGATGATTTCTAAATTTGAATTGAGAGGCTCTTTCCAAAATTTCAAATTCAAACTGATCATGATTTCTACATTGGAATGATCGGCTCTTTTAAAACAATATATGATTTCGATTTAAAATTTCAAAATATGATTTCGATTTCGTTTTTGAAATTTCATTTTTTAAATATTTCGATTTAATTTTTTAAATTCAAATTGTAATGGTGGCAGACAATTTGGTAAATTGGAAAAATTATTTCTTTTAAAAATCAAAAATTCCTTTTTTTAAATTCGAAAAAGAAAACAATTGTGGTGGCAGACAAGTCATTAAATGTCCCACTGTTGTTCACATTGGAATTGGTCAGCTGATTTAATTGCTTTTTACATTGGAATTACTCATCTGATCTAAAATTCGAATTTTGAATTTAAAATATGGATGGTGGGAAAAGATTTGGAAAGTTTTGGGTGGCATTCAGCTAATTCTATAAAAGGGAACGTTGTGAATTGTTTCTTTGAGAGAAATTCTTTCAGAGAAATATCCTGCTTCTTTTCTTCTTTTCCGTCTTCTTAAACAAAATGGTTTCAAGATAGGATTTTATAAAGGATCATAATACTGATCGTTTTTTTATTGTTTTCGTGGCTGTTGTTATGATTTTCGTTTTTTGTTGTTGTTGATACTTTGTCTTTGTATATCGTATTTCATGCTGTGTAGTTCTTGCCTGCATTTTTTTTTCGTTCGTATGTGTAGCGAATGTTGTATTATTATTATTTTTGTTTACTTTATAAACAAATTGCTATGAATTCGTTTTCATTTTTTGTATACTAATTCTCTTTTTTTTTCATTTTCCAGGGAAGAAGGTTTCATAATATTGTTACAGATATAATTTTTCAAGTTAAAGATGGAAGTGAACCATAATGTTACTAGCAGGCACCTACCTGATAGCAAGATATTAGAGATGAAACAAATCCAAAGGCTCCGGTAACTCTGGGAATGGCTTTGTTTATACTCATGTTTATTAGCAGAGAACATAATGATTTAGAATTTGTAAATTTATCTGATAATGTAAATGACATTCCTAACGTGCACGTTTTTGTGGTTAAATTATCCTTTGTCTTGGAAGGGAACTGATAAAATTAAAGTCATAATGCTCAAAGCATGCAACAAGAAGGAAGTGAAGTGGAGTGGAAAAGCCTTCAAGAAACTGAAAAACCTTAAAATTCTGATTATTGAAGAGGCAATCTTTTCTACAGGCGCCCAACATCTACTAAATAATTTGAGAGTGCTAGATTGGAGTTATTATCCATCGCAGTTTTTACCATCTGATTTTAGTCCCAAAGAACTCGAGATACTCAATATGTCCAATAGTTGCCTTAAATTCCTCCAACCACTGAAGGCATGTATCAGTTTCAAAGTTTTTATTGTTAATATATTTTCCTCTTAAAAGTTCATAACTTAGCGTCATTTGTTGTTATTTTGCAGAGGTTTGAGACCTTGTTTTCAATAATGCTTGAAGGTTGCAAGTTCTTAACTGAACTACCAAGCCTATGTGAAGTAACATTCTTGATGAATCTGACTCTTGATAAATGCACTAATTTAGTTAAAGTTCATGATTCAGTTGGGTTTCTTATAATCTCCACTCCTTGAATGTTACAAGATGCACCCACTTCTTAACAAATCCAAAGTTTCACTGACAAGGATTTCATGTTTATGCAATGCAGTTGTTTCCTACTCCAGTCAAGTCCAAAACATCGTGACCATAAAAGAACAGATGATGATATTTGAAAATGATGGTGTGAGAATTTAGCAATTCGCAGATCAATGAAGTGTCTTCTAAATGTCATCATAGTTAGTGTTAATGTTATCACACTTAACTGTTCTATATAGCAGAAAACAATATTTGTTATCCCATATATCTACCAATTAATTGACATTAGATGTGAATTCCAACAAATAAAACCAAGAAATGCTTATGTAAATGTGCTACACAAGTGGGTGGTGACTGGAGGTCATCATTAGAAATTTTGCTTCTCAGCTCTCAGTTTTAGATTGATAGATTTTGTATTAGAAAGTACTAAATTTGGATATGACTGTCATACTTCAAACGGTGCATTGTATTTTCTACTCTCCAATTTTTTCTTCCGAAAAATGGTGTTTCACAACCTTGCATTTGATAATGACATCAATGAATACAAAGGTGAAGATATTCATTTTGCAATAGATTTCAATTGCTACAAATGGAAATCCAAACAAATTTTTATATAATTTACATGAGAACGATAGCATGAGTTTAATGAAAATTTAATTTTTCCACTTTTAGAAACGTTTCAAATTTGAATTTTTTATTTCATAAGTGGAAAAAATTTTCAGCATTCATTATAAAATATTTCACTTTTTAGATTTGAATTTTAAAATTTGAACTTGATGTGTGGGAAAATAGGTCATCGTTTATTACAAATATAAAATTACACTACTTTATGCATTGGAAATTGAGTCTATTGATTTTGCTACGTTCAAGAAAAACTATAATAACAATGAAGCCACTTTAAAATATTTCCTGTTTAATAAGTTTCTAAATTCGAAATTTTAATTCAAATTTTTAATTCTATCACTTCTTGATGCATTGGAATTGGTTAAGTCTATTAATGATATTTATTATTATACCTAAAAAAAATTTATACATAGATAATTGTTAACCCTATTAATATCCCACTATTGAGCTTAATTAGTAAAAAACATAAAATTATTTTGTGTATAAAATTATATATTAAATAAAAAAATATTTAAAATTATAAAAACATATGCATAGTTGATAAAAACAAATTTAAATTTAAATTTAAATAAAAAAATGAGAAATGACATATTTATACTTTAAGAAGAAATAAATTAAAAATTTAAGTTAAAAAAGAATAAAAAAAAAAGGTATGCGTACAAGGATTTTTATTTAAAAATATCAACATAAACATTTTAAATATATAGGTATAATCAATATAAAAAATTATAAAATTAAAAGATTAAAAATTAATTTTTCAAAAAATATGTATCATTAGTAACCATTTTGTTATTAATTTTAAAATATTTTAAATTAAAATTGTTATTAATTCATTTTCGTGAAAATAGTGCAGCTTTTTATTATGGTTCAGATTTTAAATTAAATCATGTTTCTTATATAATTAAATTTAAGTCGCAAAAACTATAATATTTTTAATTAAAAATTTAATATGAAATTATTATTATTGTTTTTGTTTAAAAAAACTTTTTTTTACAAGTCTGTTTCAAATTGGAAACGTTAGAAATTGTAACACCCCGTATATATCCGGTAATGTCATCATACTATCGTATTTAAGCTGCGCTTAATTAAAAATGCGGAATATCTTTTTCTTTTCAATTATGAAGTCATTATCATTACCAACTTGCTTATTAATCAATTAATAAAACAGCCCGTATGCAATTGCAATAAAACAGCTAACTGAAATACCTCATTAAATAAAATAACATAATGTAAGGCTCTAGTCACGAAACTATAACACGTAGACCGGACCAACTATCAGTTTATACAACCAAACTCAAAAGTACTAACGACATAGTGGCATGGACAACTCTCATGCTCACCCAAATAAGGCAACAAAGCCCAACATAAGTCTCAACATCAACAACATATAATAGTGCGGAAAACATAAACAGCATCCAATCCATCATGCTAGCAAATAAGCAGTAATATCATAATCAGCTAAGCTATGGCCTCCTGCCGCCAGAGGCATCAGTCGCCATACTACCTAAACCTGAAATAAACATTCCCCAAACGTGGGGTGAGATCTTTAAACAAGAAATCTCAGTAAGTCAAGGGTTCCTCAAGGGTCTTCCACCCCAAGCTCACTTACATGTGCAATATAAGTTTAAAAGCAGTTCATCAATATCATTTCTGAAACAGTGTAATGCAGCAGATAATCATGTCATGTGTGTCAATTCTATTCTATTGGCCAGAGAAATGCAGGAATAACTATACGT